GCAAAGACCAAACCCCAACCGCGAAGGAAGCGCAGGGAGTCTCCAGCCCCCACCACAAAGCGCCTCAGCCCACCCCACCCTCCCTGCCCCCCCCAAGAGAAAAACAAACAAACCAAAATACAATTCTAAAAATTCGACAACAGAACGTCTGAGGCTCGTACTTCAGCATCTTGCGATGGTATACGATAAGCCTGTGGGGACTGGGTATGGAGACGGGCGCTAAATGGCTAAAGCCTGCTCGAGGATTTTAGTGACAGGAACTAAGGGGTACGATTTCGATGCTTGGTGTTGAAGGGCTTGTGTCAGTGGGCCTCGAATCATGCCCTCACCTGCCAGTAGTACACACCGAATCAGGTGGCACCATACGAGGGATACATCGTAATTAACGAAAAATTGTCCCAAAATGACTGCTTCTTCATTCGAGCTATAACAAAGACAATCAGCTCCCTGCCATGACTGCTTCACGTGACTTGCTGAAGACGTTCGCGGGCACTTTGCTTTGAGCCCTCCTGGCTGTCAGCAGAGGCAAGCCCAGCAAAGTTCGCTAGAAAATGTGCCCGACCAGCATGAAACCCAGGAAGCTTTTAAGGGCTCGGGACTTCAAACTTCCTGTGGTTTGCGGCTTCTTGGTCTTAGGGCTTGGTCTGGCTAGCTCGCTGTCAGGTGTTCAGAGCATCCGGGTGCTCAGGGTCGCAATTTCAGAAAGCCCGATGGATTCCCTAAATCCTAAAACCACCCTAGACCCTCAACACCAAGCCCCTAAACCTGAAATGCCCTATTGCTCAAAAGCCCTGAACCCTTATCCCCCCCCCAATATTACAACCTTACCAAAAAAAAACAAGCAGTTTAGGGCGCGTCAGGGCTTTAGGTTTAAGGCAAAGGCCCACCTGCGATGCTGGATCGCCAGCTGAACGATGTGGCCTCGGTGCGCCCAACCCTCACGGCCGGACGGCCGTCCTCGAAGGTTCCTTTCAAAGGGCTCTAAGAGGGTACTACAAGGATTACTATCAGACTATAACGGTACTGCTACGTTAAGGCAGGATGAATGCGCAGGCTTCGGGCTTCGGTTTAGGGCTTCTGCAATGTACTCAGTGTGCCGGGAATTTGGAACAACCGTTTGAGCAAGATTGCCAAGCAGTCTTGCAATCTTGGTCTCGCCGACTAGTTTACCTTTTTATCACAGACCAAGATTGCAGAAGGGGAGCAAGATCGCCAAGCAATCTTGCAATCTTAGTTCCAAAAGCTAAACTAGTTGGCGAGCAAGTGGGGGAAGTGGTTCAAGGGATTGCCAACCCTTGGACTCCAACAGGTAAACTAGTCGGCGGGCAAGTGGGGCCAGTGGGGCAAGCTGACCAAGATGGTTCCGTCAATTAATTGTTCTAAATTCCCGGCAATGTGTGAAAGTAGACGCCCGCATACGAGCAGTGACAAGCCCACTTCCTCGGCCGAGTTGTAACAAGCAGAGTCCATCCTGACCCCGACACCCTGAAATACGCAACACCCAGATCTGCAACCCTCCCAATTCTCAGACCCTCTGAGCCAAGGGCAAACTTCGCCAAGCCTGTGATTCAAGCTGCAGGAAGCGTGTCCCAGAAAGGCCCCCAGAAATCCTAAATACCGAACCTTAAACCTTAAACCCTAAAAAAGCTAAATCTAAACCGTGCTAAAAGGAGGGCCGACAACTACCGGAGGTGTTGGGAATGCTGTGCAACTTGCGGTAGCCGTGGGTTTGTATACGGGATGTACAGTAGGAAGACAGGTTGACGAGGGTTGACGGGTTGTTGAGATTTGTGTAGGGCTTGGGGCCATGAAAGCCAGGAGCACCGGTGAGGAAGGGAATTAAAAGAACTGGTTCTTTGATGCTACTCCGGCGCACAAACTACAGCCCGGTTGCCGCTTAGATGTGGCGATGTCTGTTTCCAGGGTCTCGGTGGGCCAAGCACCCGAACCTAGCCCTCGGCCCTAATACAGCGGCCTTAATAGGTAGAATAGGGCTTTGGGACATATTATACTATGCTTCTAAGAAGGAACCCCCGAAATAGTATAGGTAAGTATTTAGGCCCCTATACTACTGCTTTGGGACACATTCTACCATGCTGCTTACAGGGAACCCGAAATAGTATGGGTAAGCATTTAGGCCCCTATATTACCCTATATTACGAACCTGGAAATATTCACCCTAAACCCTAAACCTAAACCCTAAACCCTAAACCCTAAACCCTAAACCCTGGCCCCTATATTACTAACCTACAAACACGGAGCCCGGAAGCCCAGAACTCGACCTGAAAACCCCCCAAAAAGCCCCAAGTTCAGCACCGATGCCAAGAGGGCTTAGGGCTTTTGCTCAGGGTTTAGGGTTTAGGGCCCAGAAGAGGTCTACAAAAAATGAAGCCATCTGCGAATCTACACCGGTCCGAATAACTCGTTCCGGAGGTTTGGCACAGGGTATCCAGGCCCTAAGCCGTAAACCTTAAACCCTAACACCCTGAAAACCATGGAGCTGTGATTTCTTTACAATGCTGCTTTTGGGGACCTTAATGCTTGGAATAGGTGTTGGATGGTATGTTATACTACAGCTATCATACTATGTATTCTTAATGGCGGTATGTTATACTACAGCTATCCTAATGTTCCACGAATAGTACTTTTACTGGTCTGGACCCCTATATTAGAGTTGCCAAGGAAGAGCCTTCTCGTTTCAATACCAGAGCTTGAGCCAAGAGTTCCAGCTTCCCCAAGGCCTCTCCACAAAAAGAGCCACGGAATCCAGAAAAGAGTCGCCCTAAACCCTGCGTTTAAGCACTCTTTTTCCTTGGCACCGTCACTTCGATTCCTCAAAAACTTGCCCCCTGCCGAGGGCCCCGGCGAGTGATTGGCCAGGAAGGGGAGGTTTCGCCTTAGAAGGACCCGTGGTTTAGGGGTTTAGGGTTTAGGATTTAGGGTTTAGGGTTTATAACCCAGAGAGCCCAAGACCCCTTAAAGTGAGGAATAGACCTTAAATCATAATATTAGGGCGCCTCATAATTTAAGGTATATTCCTTACTTAAGGGGTCTTGGGCTCTCTGGGTCTCTCCAGGAGCTCGGGAAGTCCGAGGCTTGGGGCGGCTCTGACGCTGGCACTGGGGAGCTCAGAGGCATCTCGCAGCAACGGCGTGGAGCCAAATGTTAGGCTGGTGGGATTGTGGAGCCAGAGCGACTTTGCTCTACAGGGGACCCTAAACCCTAAACCCTAAACCGTGATGACGGACATAGAGGACCCGAAGACAAAGCAAGTGATAGCGGGCCACCCGGGAGGTTCAGGGTCTCGGCCTGAGCTTTTGGAAACATTTTCAGAGCTCGGGGCTCAGGGCTGGGCATGAGGCCTTCATCTGATTTAAGTGTTGGCAGTAGCTGCATAGCATCGAACGGACTTGCTGACCTTTCAGTAAAGGAAAGGGGTGGCGAGCCTTCCCAGACCCAAACAAGCTTTGAAGCCCATTGCCAGACTCAAGCACCCAGCATCAACAGCATAGGGCTTTTGGGGTTTTGATCTAACGGCCTTAAAAACCCTATACTTTGGATCCAAATCTGGCTAGACCTGAAGAGGTAGGATCATCGTGATGATATACTTTGTTGTGTACCTGAATGCTTTGGTATAAGCTATACTCTCAAAGACATGCTTGGTAGATGCCTTAGGCCACAGCACCCAGAGAGCACTGCTACTGGGGATGTTAATTTCTACACAAGCCTCGGCCACGATGACGTGACCGCCCACCCCGACTCCCGCCACGACCATCCCAGAACCTACCCAGCTTTGGCCCTGGCTGCATGAGCTCCCGGGCCATGCCGTAGCGTCCTGGAGGTTCATTCGATGTAGGTGGGGTCTACATGTGTAGAGCCGTTTCGGGCTCAACGCCCGCATACTAATAACAACGTTGTGGCTATGAGCTTGAGCACAGACATGTGTCCGAGATCCTACATTATTCGTCTCTCTTCCTCCCTATGATGCAACCACAGGAACAAACATATAGATCCTGTACTAACCAATAAAGCTCGGTCCAAAGTGAAAGGCCTGATGCACGCAGTGTCAACCTAGAACGGATGTCAGGGCTTAGGGCTGAGGCCTTCATGCTTCGGGTCGGCCCTGGTTGACCCAAGTAGACACCATGGTCTGTGGCAAAAGATATTCTGTAGCGCCCGTCAGCAAGCTAGAGAGAGCGACCACGAACTTAAAAGAGGATGGTAAGAAGATCGATCTCTTCCTCCTAGGCATCGCCAAAACCTCAGTTCTAAACTCCCACAAACCCTTAAACCCATGATCCCGCAGGACCACACAATCTCAAACCCCTAAACTTCTTAAGCCGCATCTCAAGCATACTTAACCTCATGATTACAACCTTCAGCCCCCCAACTGCTAAAACCTGAAGCCCTATGCCAGGCCCTGAGACATTAGGCTGCACCTTCGAACCCGAAACCCTCGGCTTACGGAGCACCTCCCGCGAAGGTGTGCTCCCCGTCCAAGAACTTTGCGAGCTCCTTCCACATGGTCCTTGGCTCAGGGCCGCTAGGTTCTGCCTCCCACGTACAGACATCTTCTTCGCTTGTGAAATGCGTATTTTTCAGTGAGACATGGCCTATTATCACTCATCGTATGCGAGGAACAGCAAACATTCTGTGGGCTGCTTGTTGGATGCACGCAAACACAGAGAGAGAGAGAGAGGCGCACCTGTTATATGTAATATAATATATGCATATATACATGACTATGGTATATCTATCTATATACATATATAGAGAGAGAGAGAGAGACCGTAAACATTATTGGTGCATATGTGTATGTATGAGCGTGTACGCGTTCTGGCATCATACCAGGTCATACCGCACAGTAACAATACATGGCAGATGGGAGAAATGTGCAGGTTGTGAGGTTCTAGGGATTTAGGGAGTTAGCCTCGGGGTACCGTTTTGTCCGGGGTCTCCCGTTTACCACGGTTTCCCAGGACAATTGTTATACTCCAGTAGTTTTGTGGTATCTTATGGTATGTTTTCGTATCTTGTATTATTTTCTAATATATTTATTTCTGATGTACTGTATTACCTTACAGTACATTAGAAGGATTCAAGTTCCTTTAGGTTCCAGGGTTTCGGATCGTGGGGCTTTGAGCTTAGGGCCTAAGGGCTTCTACAGCTCTGGGCTTGGAGCGTGGACCCCTGGAGCCCACAGCTCAAACCCCGAAAACAACGGAGGCCCTCCCTAAACCATAAACCCGGCGGGGGGCCCGAGTTGATATTCCTGAAAGCCCCCAAAGCCCAGCAGCTCGTCGTAGGGATCATCGGGCGAGTCGATGTCCACCCAACCTTCCGGCTTCGGAGCTTTTGGGATTTATTTAGGGTTCGGTGCTTCGGGTTTAGGGTTTAGGGGGGGTTAAGGTCGAAAGGGTCAACCTAAAAGGGTGGTCGACTGTACAAGTTAACGAGCCGGCGTTCTGAGTCTTCGCAACTCCGCGCTGCTCTGTGGCCCCTGAGCCCATCCCGAAACCCCTCATCTGTGCACCCCAAAACATAGACTGTTAAGCCTCAAGCGCATGGGGCCAGAGGCTGCACCAACAGCACCCGGACGCAGAGAAGGGCCCCCTGATTCTCTTTTCGGGTCCGATCGCGTAGGGCTTAGGGCTCGGGTTTAGTTCGTCTTGGGCCTTGAGACAAGATGTGGATGTACGGCACCTCAAGTCAAGGCAAGGCTAGCCAAAATCGTTATCCTCCGACTCCGGAGCGATTTGGCACCCGTGAGCCTCCACCCGCCTCTTCTGAAGTCCCCAAAACCACTTCACATCCGAAGTCCCAGGACCCTGAACTTCCTGAACAACAACCTCCGAAAACTCCTAAACCCCTTAAACCCTGTGGTCCTCCTCGAGACCTGCGACCCCCAACTCCACTCCCCAAAGATCTGTAAAAACCCCCGCCTTTAAACCAAGCAGGGGGCTTGTGGAAGTAGATCGTCGTCTGCCCACAAAGCGGCTTTGCTCTAAGGTTTCGGGACTTCGGCTGTAGATTTTCAGGGCCCGGGGATTTCAGGAGTTATGATAATCCGAGAGCTTCGGGGGCTGAAGCTGGCTAGAAGGTGTCGGGGTTTAGGGTGTTGGGCTTTCAGGTTGAGAACCTAGAAGGGCCTTGACCGAAACCTTGAACCCCAGAAACGCAAGCAACAAATCCCCTCACTCGGGAAGCAACAATCCACAAGGACTGCAAGATGTCTTCTTGCTCGCTCCCAGCCCCGACAAACATGGCTTGAATTTGTGTCCTGTACTTCTTGCACACATGCACGACTACATTATAGTTATATAAATCTATATACATATGTAAATATTTCTATCTATTTACATATTTAAAAGTTACATACTGCTTCGATGTATGCATGCATGTATACATGTATGTACGCATGTAGGTATATGTAGGTATATGTATGTGTATATATGTATATACACAGAAATATATATATATATGCATATACACATACATTACATGTATGCGAACCTGTCTACCTACCTACCTACCTACCTACCTACATACATACATACATACATACACACACATACACATACACACACACACAAATACACAGAGTCCCATTTATATCGTTAACCCTATGGCCAATGGTTTGGCCAACCTGGACTTTACAACACGCAGCAGGTGTCCAACCTCTTCGCCACTTTTGGGGTTCTGCACCTGAGGGCGTTCGGGGCTGTTTAATGATATCTCAAGGCCACATGTTATATGTGTTCAAGGGCTCCAGCGGAGCGGTGCCGCCCTTGAGGTTCACTTGCTCTTGTCAGTACCATTATCCTGCTCCCAATGATATGTTGGTTACATCAGTCCAGTAGTATTGTGCATTTTGAGGTGCGCTAAGAAGGGAGGCACAGCCTTGACAAATCCTGTTCACATCCACGACTCCTCCCATGTCCTCCACCTGAGCAATAGCCGTCGTCCTAGTCCTGCAACCTTTTTCCATCAACTCTCGCACTATCCAGGTGCGAGCGTCGATCCTCCCTTTCCGATACTGTATAGTGAGGATAGAAGTAAACCTTTTGGACAGTCCAGGACGGGCATGTCGGCTGGCTGGTTACTAGTTATGTTGCAGGATGTTTGCACATGGGAGTTGTACTGGAGTGCATGAATGGCCCATCGTGCCCCGTCCACAGCCTTCCTTGATGAGGATCCTTTACGGAGGAGCTAGCCCTTCTGGAAAACCAACCACCCTGACAAAGCCGCCATGAAACACCCTCGCCCACATAACTTCTAGCACACTTATACAACCCTTGCAAAACCCCAAACGCCCTAAAAGGCCCTTAGAGAGCATCCTAGGAACCCCCCCCCCCATGGGTTTGTGGTCCCTGGAATCTCCCGAGGCCCCCTGCATCGAAGAGGTCCGGGTGCTGTGTGTACAAGTCCTCGAAGGATTTCACGATGATATCCGGCACGGACCTCCGGGTGTAGGGTGTAGGGTTTAGAGTTTCGGCTTTAGGGCCTTTAGGCTTCGGGTTTCGGGGGGAGCTCTGAGCCTGAGACCCTCAAGCCTCAAGTCGATCCCGCTGTCACAGTGAAACCCCTGAAGGTCTAGGGTTCAGGGCTTCGGGAGCCTGAATCCTCAAAAATTGAAACTTAACCCTAAACCCTAAACCCTAAACTTAGGGCCTTTCGACCTTCAAAGCCCTGAACCCACACTCCTCCTGCTAGAACCTAAAGCTCCGAAGGTGCAGCGAAAAAAGGAGACGAGTTCCTTGGCTAAGTCTTGGGGACCCCTTTTCGCAGTTCAGGGTTCAGGGCTTATTTCGGGCGAAGGCTTTATTATGAGGGACTAAGGGTTCCAAAGCTTTGGGTATTATCCAACGAACCAAGGCCCTTCTTTGGCTCCATGTCCCCTCAACGAAGGATTCCTCATTCAGGAACCCTACCAGGATTGAAGATTTACGCTTCGATATGTGGGAGACTCTGGATTTTACAACAACCCTAAACCCGAAACCCTAAACCCTAAATTACTAAACCCTAAACCCGAAACCCTAAACCCTAAAGTAGCAGAGCAGCACTTGAGCAGAAACTAGAATCCTAGAATTCTCAGGGCAGGCGGAGTTTGAGGCATAACTTCCGCAGGGGCAGTTGTCTAAATTAGCGTCTCCATTTTAGGGCCCTTTTTAGACGGGTGCCATACTGTACTGGGGACCCCAAAAAAGGGACCCTAATTTAGAGAACTACCCACAAGACAAACCAAACACAAATGACATTTTCCAAACCGAAGGAATTGGAGATCTTTGGAGCCCTGAACTCGCAAATCCCCAAATCCCTGAAAGCCTCCGACACCCTCCAAGCCCGAAAGCCTAAAATCCGGTAAACCTGCTAAAGCCCTATCTTCCATAAACCCTTACCCTCGACTCACCCCATACAACCTCCGCCACCGCCCCACCCCCCACCCCGGCCTCTCTTTCAAACGGCCCTTGATGTAGTTGGCCATCGGCTTGATGCGATCCTGCCCACTCAGTGGGTGGCAAAAACACGCTCCAGACTGCCTTTGGGTTTAGGGCTTCAGCTTCTTGTCGAACTTCGGGGCCCAGGGTTGAGGATTTCGGATTTTCAGGGCTTTTTCGGGTCTAGGGCTCGGGCGAAGCCCCTGAAACCTAAACACTCAAACCCAATGCCAAAGGCGCAGTTCCCAGAGCCGAATCCCTCCTTCCTACAGTGGTAAGCCCTCAGGTGCTGTACCTGAGCCCTAAATCGCAAAACCCCAAGCCTTAAATCGAAGCTCCTGCAAATCCCTAAACCTTCCCCAAAGCCCGGAACCCCCCAAAAGTCCACCCTCCGGAATACTCTCCCCAAGGTCCTGGTACAGAGACTCGAGGGTGGAGATCAACATCTGGCGGAGCCCCTCAGGACCCAGACTCCTGGCATCTTTCCCGATCCCCAAAGAAAACAGGGGTCATGGGTTTGCTGGCGGGTTTGGTGGGGAGCTTCGGGTTCACGGTTTCGGATTTCTGGTTGCGCGCTTAGGGCTTGAGCATGGCCTCCTAAAAAGGCCCAAGGGACTTAGTGGAATGTATGTATAGCGGACTTACTTGTATCCCCAATTATAAGCCTACTTACTAACTAAGTCCATTGAGCCGTTCAGTAGGGTGCAGGGTTGGTGGGTTCCTTAAAGAAACATACAGCAATATACAAGGACCCTGCATTCCAAAAACACCCCTACAAAGAGCCCGAAACAGAAAAATCCATGCCGGTGCGTCTCCAGAGCAGCCTGGCCCTGCAAATCCACTCCAGATGCTTGCCCCTTGTTGCCCACGTCCACCTGGCGCAGGGCTTCATGGTTTCAGGCTTTGGGGTTTACGGTTTTAAGAGGGTTGAGGGCTTAAGGGTCCAAGGCTTAAGGGTTAAGGGTTTAAGGTTTCTGTTTCTTGTTTGAATGCCCGCTTGCACAGTGCTGAGGCGATGATCGGAAACACCCATAACATGTCCGAACTTGCATGAGGTTATGACACACCTTCGCCTCACCTGAAGGGGGACTAGGAGGATCTCCACATCCGAAGATCCAACCCTTCGGTGGCGAAAACCTTCCTTGCCCCAAGCATCTCAAATCTACCTGGACCCTTGAGACGTCCTCGTCGCAACATGAGCTGTAGTGTCTCAGCACTGACACCGAGCCGCGAAGGGAGTCCTACAAGTCGAACAAAACCTCAATCCTCTTTCGGTTCCTTGCCTTTGGGTCTACGGGCTAAGGCGGCTATAAGAGGGATTTCCAGGGACCAGCCTGTCGCCCAGGGGGAACTGCCTGGCGCCCTTTGGCGCGCCTCGGCCGAAGAGACCGGCAAACGAAACCGGAGACAAAAATCAATGCACGCGCGCACGTGCGTGTGTGTGTGTGTCTGTAT